ACTTACTTACTTACTTACTTACTTACTTACTTACCTACGCCTGTTACTCCTAATGGAGCATAGGCCGCCGACCAACATTCTCCAACCCACTCTGTTCTGGGCCTTCTTTTTTAGTTCCATTCAATTCTTGTTCATTTTTCTCATGTCTATCTCCATTTCCTGGCGCAATGTGTTCTTTGATCTTCCTGTTTTCCTTTGACCTTGAGGATTTCATGTGAGTGCTTGTAACAATGAAAAAATTGTACTTACGATAGGATTTAATACCATGGATTAGATCTAGCTCTATTTCTGTATTCTTGTTCATTTCACTTTATAAGTATTCTTTATTAAGTGACCATTTGGTTAAGATACTTTACATTTGTCTTTTCAATTGTCGTCGGTTAACTGACTCTTAAAATACATACAAGTTAATACGTTTATCCTATTTGACACTCATAATATATCATCACATATTGATTGATATGACATTATGTTTAAGTAAGAATAAACATGGTTCTTCAACTGTGGTAAATGACGTCATGAAGAAGAGGAGTTTGGTCGACCAGAACCATCCAGCTCAGAGAACGAAACTCCATCAAAATCATCCAACTGAACTACAAATCTTCTCCACCATCTCGAAGAGGAGTTTTGTTTTCTTCACGATGTGTTTAGTTTCTTTTTTTAACATGGTATCGTTATGACCTCTTCACAGTAGATACAATTTCTTGATATTTTAGTTCAATTTTTACTATTAATTATTAATTGTCATATGAAAAGAATGAATAACGACTGGAAAGAACTGAAAAGGATTGCTCAGGACAGGGTTAGATGGCGAGTGATGATGGGCAGCCTGTGCTCCTCTAGGAGTAACAGGCGTAAGTAAGTATGTAATTAATTGTCAATCATGTAAATAATCATCAGCGTAAAGTGTTATTTCACAGTAATGTTTACTTGCTTAGCTTATATCACTAGGTATAGATTGATGTTAACTATCAAAGAGTTTACTTATCTGACGAACCCCAATTCTTTCAGTTTTACATTAAAAATATTGTAATAATTGTAAACGTAGTTCAGTATTTTATCTATATTTCACGCATATAATAACTTCTTATTCCGTTAAAAAAATAGAAGCCTACGATTTTGAAGGAATGGAGCGATCATTCACCATATTCCTAGTATGAAACTCCTAAGCAGTGCTCCTTCATGGCCCTGCCATCACGCATCGATTAAAGGATCTTTGATCTCGTGAGCGATCTCTCATTTTCTAAACCAACACCACAGCGTTGTGAATTAGTTGGATCTAGATACGTACACCAGTGGATGTCGTCTTGGTGTCTAGAGATTACGAGTATGAGCACGAGACCGAAGGTCCTGTATCCAATCTCCGGTTGTGGGATCATGGATGTTCACTGCTGAAGTCACATACAAGGATGATACAGCAGTCTAGTATATTCTTTTTTCAATTAAATAACAACACAGCCAACATCAAATGTCTGCTTAGATAGTGACTTGTTATGTTTAACATATGAATCGATCACATCATTTGATGGACGTTTATAGCTTCATCATTAAACATATCGCTTTTGCTTAGTATCCCTAATGTAACTGAACTTCATTAATAACCACGTCCTGGTTACATAATATATGAGCAGTGTTTTGTAAACGTTCACAATCCAATAATTGAATCGTATGTCTGTTCTTTATTTTATTGACCGTATTCACAACTGCTTCCAATTCTCGTTGCAGTGTGTTCTTTGGCACTTTAGCGCTTGCCTCGTGATGCACTAATTTGGAATCCTGAAGGGTAGCGGAAAAGAGGAAGGACAGAGAAGACGTTACGTCGGGGAATGGAATCAGATATGAAAAGGATGAATAACAACTGGAAAGAGCTGGAAAGGATTGCACAGGATAGGGTTGGATAGAGAATGCTGATGAGCAGCCTATGCTTCTCCACGATGAGTAACAGGCGTAAGTAAGTATGTAATGTTTATTTACCGCTGAAAATTCGAAATAATTCATTATTGTGGTTTGTGCGGCTTTACAGTCAATTATGATAAATAGTAATTTGTACTTACTAAAACTTCCAGTGTTAAAGAAATACCTATTTGAATATGAAATATACCGATTGTAGCATATAATCGATTATTTAATGAGGTAAAACGTTTTCCATCTAAGATTTACTTCCTGCTGCTACCTAGTGGTGAAACAACCTTATTGGTCAGCCTATGTTGCTCCATGCGTGTTAACAGGAGTAATTCCACAACTTCGATATAATACAGAGCGAGATCACTGTGTAACATACATCTACAGAATGTCAACTAGACATGCTGTTTGTTTGACAGAGGTTGTTTAATGACTTTTATATTTAGGCCTCCTATAGATTTTAATGCTAATCATGTTCATGATCAATTATGAATTAAATTAACTCTGATCCAAACAATCTTATAACAGTTTTAGCTGCAGAACAAGTTCAAAATAGGATTTGGTATAATCTCTCTACATTTACTAGGATGTAAACAAATACTCACATTGATTATAATGTTACTGGAGCCTATCCAAATTTTTGCCTTTAAAAGTAGAAACATTCTTTTATTTTGGTTCATTCTTTCATATAATGATGACAACACTTAACAACATGAGTCAATTGAAGCTAAACTACCATGGGAAACCTGGAAGCATCGGACATTCTTTCCGTCCTAACTTCAATTGACTCATGAACTCAACTATGAAAAATTACTACAATATCCACAAAACCCTTTCTGATATTAATCAACATATGGTCATTAGTGACTGGTTTCAAGAAGTATTTCCTGGAGTTCTAGTGAGAAGTAGTGACCAGCGGAGTTCAAACAGGTCTGTTGTGAGATAGTAACTCACTGAAGATAATGGTAAATGTGTCGCTCAATTTCGTGGATTACTTGAAGTTAGACATCAACATCGTTTAATGCCAGCCAGATCAATGGTCTAGTGGTTAAGTGTTCACGCGCAAAACCAACAGGTCCTCGATTCGAAACTCGTGACACGGCACTGTGGATGCGCATTGTTGAGGAGTCTCACAGTAGGACGAAACGGCCATCCAATGCCTCTAGGTTTTCCATCATGATCTAGCTTCAATCAATTCATGATCTCAACTATTACAATTACAATAATAAATTTGTCATGAAAGATAAAGAAACTGTTAACCTGTTGGTGATTACTTTTTTTCTTTTTTATAATTTCTACAACGTGAGTAAATCAAATAAATTCACTTAAAAAAAAATCAATGTTTCTCTTTTTCTCTCATTATTCTTGTTTATTGTTTTCTAGTTAGATTACATATGTATGCATATACATGATTTGCCTACATCATCATTATTTCAGTAATGGTGAACATGATTATAGTTTCCATGAAAAAGATTAGAAAATGTTTTGAATGTTTAATCAATCACTAAGTGATCAATAAATGATATTAATCGATAATCATGAACCTTCTTTTTTACCAATTTACCTGTTAAAAGTAAATATTTGTTATTTATTATTAAAGATTCAATGAATTAGTGGAATATTTTTATAATCTACAAGACTACTTAAGACTACCTAAGACTACTTACTTACTTACTTACTTACTTACTTACTTACTTACTTACTTACTTACTTACTTACTTACTTACTTACTTACTTACTTACTTACTTACTTACTTACTTACTTACTTACTTACTACTTACTTACTTACTTACTTACTTACTTACTTACTTACTTACTTCTTTACTTACTTAAATGGAACTCAGATATTTATTTATGTAGGCTACTTTTGATTATAATAAAAATATCATATTTCTATCAAATGAGATCCATATTTTATTTCTTTTCGCATTAAATATATTATTAAGGGGGGTTTAGTGGATATTGTAGTAATTTTTTAGAGGTCATGAATCAATTGAAGTTAGACCACCATGTAAAATCTTGAATTAATGGATTGCCGTTTTATCCTACTGTGGGACTCCTTAACAGTGCGCATCCACAACCTCGACTTGAGACATTCAAACCCAGAATCTAACAATTCTATCAGTTCTAATCACTTTTATTTTGTGTAAAATCTTTGTATAAATGTCGATTATTTTTCTTACATAGAGCTAATCACACTGCCGACTAACGTTCTATTATTTTCTGTTGGCATTATTTCACTGGGTCATTGTGTTAATAATCCGGCTTTCATAAGTAATCATGATGTAATTTCCAACAACTGATGGCGTATCTGAAATCAAACAATCTATTCTTTGTTCTAACACACAAAGAAGGTCAATCATAGCTTGAATAGCTCAATGAAAACGTCATATATTTTGAGGTAGGGTTATTCAGGTTCAAATCCAATAGTGGAAACAATAGTTTACTTATTTGTCGTACTAACAAATGTCAACTAGCAAAAAATCCAAGTCCTAAGTTCCTAATCAACCAATCAAAGTAATATATTGAAGATCTTAAAATATCCACAATTCAACAACAACAAGATGATTCGAAAAGTAAACATTTGGGAGTTTCATTGAATTTCTGAAGTATAATTCAAATGTAGTAAAACATTTTGTTTTTCCATAAAACATTTATCATTATTTTCACTTGGTATTCATTACTTAGATCTTCCTATTAATGTTTAAGACCACAATTGATCAGTCTCTTATTGACATATGTGCATACTATGCGTATTGCCTCAATATAGCCTTCATTCACAAGCATTATATGCAAATATCGATAATGGCTAGCAATGGAATCCAGTTTGACGCGTGTTTCGTCCAATTTGGGACTCATCAGTTGGATCTGCCTACATCTCACAGTTGATGTTCATTCTGTAACTAAGTGGATAATGTGATACTGGATTCGAGTCCCAGAGTGAACATCAACTCTGAGATGCAGGCACATCCAATATGACGAGTATTGAATAGGACGAAATGCGCGTCAAACTGTATTCCACTCCTATTCACTATTCATCTTTACTTATAATTCATAATGATCTTTTAAATCATCAACATACATGAAAGAAAATCAATTATCAGTGGAATGATATTGAAAAACAAAAAAAAATCAATAATGTACATAAATGAAGATGTAAAAACACAAATGCATATTTTTCATGTTTTTTTGTTGTTTTTGTTGTTTACTTCATGTTCATATTGGTGACTCTAAACAACAAGAGCAATAGCAACAACAGTAACAACAACAACAAAATAGTAACAGTATGAAATCATTATTAATTGTACCAGTTGATTTCCTTTTCTTTTTTTTGGTTTTTTTTTGTTTTACACATTTTTTTTCTCATGATTACGTAATAGTTGAAATCTCATAGTTACATTACTGATAGAAAAATACAAAAAAAAGAATTATAATACAATTATAATGTTATAATTATAATGATTTATACAAAAGGATTGAATGATTTCCAAGGAAGAAATAGATGAATTTATTTGCTTCATGGGATACAAAACTAAAGTTTTGTTTTTGTTTTTTTAAGTGAAAAAAAAGAGAATAAAATAATGAAATCGACATTATCAACAACAAAAAACAAACAAACAGAGATCTAATATTAAATTATCAATTGACAACGGAGAACAACAACTTGGCAACTTACTTGAACATTTGGGTTATCTATTCTTGTTACCTAAATATTTCAATAAGTTATTTACCTTTTGTTTGTTTTAATCTATCATTATATCTATTCTATATGATATTGACTATCTATGGTGTTCCTGAGAAGATAGTCAATATTATACGGATGTCATATGATGGATTAAACTGCAAAAGAAAATGCATTCAGGACAGCTAATAGAGTCGTTCAATGAAAAGATCGGTGTCAGGCAAAGTTGATTACTCTCACCCTTTCTCTTTCTCCTGATGATCGACTGGATCATGAAAACGTGAAGATCTCTGGAGAAGCATGGGATATAGTGGACGGCTAGGATGCAGCTGAATGATCTAGCTCTTCTATCGCAAACGCAACAACAGATGCAAGAGAAAGCAACCAGCGGTGAGTATCCACGACCCTGTCTCACGAGATTCAAAACCAGGACATATCAGTCTCGCATGCTAGCGCTTAACCATTGGACCACTGAGCCGGCATCCAATGATGTTATTTTATTCATCAGTACTCATCATATCATTTTATTTATTTTTTTTGCACCTCCATGATCGTTAACTTCATATCTCACAACATAGCAATAGCTTGATAATTAAATTATTTAATGGAATTTCTAATATGAACTATAAATCTTTGTTACTAACTCATCATAATGTAACCATAGAATCGGTGATATTTCATAATACTGTACTATAGTATATTGTTGGTACTTAATGTTTAATTTACACTAAAAAATAAAACTGGAAGGAAAGATAGTAAATCAAAATAGTCAAATAACCCGTTATGAACTAATTTAAATATTCTCAACATATAGATGACTATGTATATATACACGTATGCTTGATTACAAATTCTCTCAATCTCTGTCACGTGGCGTTTCGTATTATGTAAGCTCGAAATTCCACATCTTCAGACCAAATAGTGTTTACAGTAGCTGTTTTAGGTATGAGGGCAGTTGTCACTTCCTGTTTGTCCACACCATGGAAGGGTTCACTTGAAGGTATCTTAAAAGGAAATTTGATTACAGTTGATCTTAGTGACTTGAGAGCGTGACCACAGTGTCCAATAGACAACTACTTAAAGTCGGTCACACACGACTTTTTTGTGAGTAATTTTTGTGTTAACTCCGTACTTGTTGGAACCTTATTACCGGAGACGAAAATCCGTAGAATAAGACGAGATGTGCATTTTTAGGGTCGCTCTTTTCTAACCCCACTCCTTCTTGCAGGAATTCAGCATCGCTGTTACGCTGAGTGTCTGAAGTAGATACCTTACCTGTCTGGCGTGGTAGGACATTGAGAAACGATTTTTCCTGCCAGTATAGCTCGATTGGTTCATCATGATATTCAAGCCTGACCATCACATCAAGGTAGCAACAACGATCGGGAACTGTCGGTTCGATTAAGAATGAATGCTTTATTGCACACAGACAAATTTGCCAGCAACTTAACCCAACATTTACTTAGCTTCTAAGTCATAGTTGCCACTCCAGTTCTAATATAGGTAATGTATATTTAAATAATGATTAGAAATGTATTAAAGGAAGGATGTCTTAGCCAATATAGTACTCGATATGTAAATTCCATTACAATCCGTAATTAAAATAGCCAATTATGTTAACTATAATATATTCAATGAAAATAACCATAATAATAACAAAAGGGTATTAAAAAAAAAACTGTACAAACGCACACTTACCTAGAAAATGTTCCACCAACTATACAATGCCAATAAGGTTTATGTTTATGATCAAATTGTATTTTAATATATCTTGCAATTTCTTGTTCAGTATTATGTTCATCAATTGCATTTGCAGCTATATAGACAGCATCCTCTTGCATAGCACGATTCATATCAGCATCTTTAACCATGGCTACTATTTCTTTCATAATATTATGATTATTATTGACTATATGTGTATTGGATAAACTTTAATATTTTAATATTGATTTATAAGTAAATTATCAAGGGATAAATAAATGTGCTCAATCGTTAGAAACTATACAATTATATATCTATATCTATACCCATCTATCTATCTATCTATCTCTCTATATATAGCTGATTGTAATTGCTTCCCAAACAAAACAATTTGATTTACTCAGCACAATTGTGCAACAGAACTACACAATTAAAGGGTGTAACCAATCATTAAATGTATATATATAATGTTAACTTATTGTTAAGTTAAGGAGAAAACAAAACAAAAATAGAGAAGAAAAAGAAAGAAAGAAAGAAAGAACTCAACACTTTATGCTTACACAATTGATGTGTACAAATAAATAATGTAATTTGTTGATAGACAATAAAACAAACAAACAAACAAAAATGTAAACTATCTTACTAATAATATAAGTGAGTATATTCTATAGGATAAAATAAAAGTATTCATTAGAATGGTAAACAATTTGAACAATACAGATAAGGTGTGATTAATGAATATCAACTTAAAGTAATTCAATATATAATGAATTGTTCATTGTGCTCATTATTGATGTTGATAGTTATCCAGGAATGAAACACTTTGATTTGCTTTAGTATATACTTATATATTGGTATACAATGTATGTGACGAAATCTCAGCACGGATAGAGAAGGCTCGACTAGCTTTTGCTAACTTTCGTCATTTATGACGTAGGCAAGATATTTGTCTACCAACCAAAAGATGGGTTTACTGCGTAGCAATTTGTTCCGTCCTACTTTATGGCAATGAAACATGACCGGTAAGAGTAGAGGATATTCGTATGTTACTAGTATTCGACCATATGTGTCTTCAAAGCATTGCTCGTATATCCTGAGATAACCGAGTAAGTAACGCAGTTTTTAGGAAACGAGTACTAGGTATGGATAGCAAATCAACTAATGAAGTAGTGAAACTTCATCATTTGAGATAGCTTGGACACGTGTCACGTATGCCCAGGCACCGACTGCAACGACGTGCGATGTTTTGTGGTGTACGAGTAGGTTGGAAGAAAAATAGGGGCGGTCAGATCAAGATATGGCATAAATCCATGAAGTCACTGACAAATAGACTGTGTAAGTCATTTTGGTAGGTGTAGATTACCTGGTTGAGATCCGCGGGACGATAGCAATCGATGGTTAGAGACCTTGAATAACATGGCTCAAACACACTACACTGATGATTGGAATCAGACATGAAAAGAATGAATAGGAACTGGAAACATGTAGAAGGGATTGATCAAAATATAGTTGTTTGGAGAATGCTGGTTTACGACCTATGCTTCACCATAAGAATTAACAAGCGTGAGTGATAAGGGATCCAAATGACTTTCAACAAACTACATTTATTAAACATAGTCGTTAAGTCGAAATGAATACCTGAAAATCATATTATTACATAATATTCCAATTCATTTTTTTTGTATGTTGCTTTATTCATCTTGATTATTTGTCATATAATAAAGAAATCTCGGTGAGACTATAATTTATGGACGAACCAATCAGGTATAAGATTACAGGTCACAAATTTTGATGGAGTTTTGTTCTTTGATTAAACCATCCATTTCAGAGAACAAAACTCCGTCAAAATCATGGACTTGATCTACAAATCTTCTCTATCAGGTCTCGGATTTTAAAGCGAAATTTACTCATCCATTTGGTGAAATTGAGTTTTGTCATTATAACTGATGTCAATCTCGTGATTGAAACCCTAAATCGAATTCCTCACACTATTTTATAACCCTAGTTATTATTAGTAGGTAAACATTCTCAAAATCACTTTACCATCACTTAATGGTCGTCCATCAATGATAGTCTCATTGAAATCTCTAATCATTTAATCCATTTATTATTAATTCAATAAAACAGGATTTATATTAAAAACATGAATATACTACTTACTATCTACTCAAATCTAATAAAATAATCTTGAAGAAAATCACTTTTTTTCCTATGAAAGTATTCTATCATTACATAGAACTATTTATATATCATCATACTGTAAATGTATTTAATCTATAAAACACGTAATCATAATTAGTATCTATTCTGGTATATCATTATTCGTTTGTTCACATAGTAATTAATTAACACCTCTTCAACATTGTTATGTAATAAACATAGAAGATTAAATTTCTTCTTTTTTTCTTTTTTTTAGTATTGTAAAGTTGTATTATTGATTATTGTGATTAATTTCATATGGTGGTGATGATGATAGATATTTTTCTTTCTTTTTTCTCGTTTTTTTGGGTTTTGGTTACTAATTTTAGAAAATCTTTCAATCAAATAAATGACATGGTTACTAGAATCAAGTGAATAGGAGTAAGTAAAAATAATAAACGTATATTGATTTTGTATCATATAAGGGGTTTTGTGTAGATTGTAATAATTTCAATAGTTGAGATCATGAGTCAATTGAAGTTAGATCATCATCGAAAATCTGAAAGCAATGGACGACTTTTTCGTCTGTAGCATGGCGTCGAGTCGCGGTTGACTATGATCATCACTACAAGAAGACTACACGTCAGTTAACCGATAAAATCCCCATAGACCAAATATCAGATGGCAGTTGATGGCTGTAGTTGAGATGTATTTGTTGGCAATCTCGTGGTATCGAAAGAATGTCAAGGTCGTGCCAGGTTAAAAGTATGGTTACTGAGCGTAACCGAAGTCGTGCAAGGTCACAATCAAAGGTAAGAAGAATGTATGTGTTTTGGTACAGTTAAACAAACAAGTACAGTAAAACAATCACTGATACAGTTGGTTATAATAATTATTTCCATTAAACCAATCGCGTTCTCTTGATAAAAGTAGGTCACTACACGTTGTCTTGTGGGACTCTTCAACAGTGCACATCTACGACTATGCCTTGCGAGGTTCGAATCCAGGATCTATTGATTTAATTGAAAAAATGTTTTGTTTTTACATGCAAATCAATAATCTAATCCCTAATGCTGAAAACAAACTTTAATTTAACTGGAATAAAATGTTTTTCTTAGAGAATTTGAAAGTTTATTTTACGTAATGTTTGGAAAGTGGAACGCTGAATTGTGAAACTAAATAATTTGGGGAAAGATTTTGAACTCTTACCGGATACAGTGAAAGTTTATTCTTAATATCTGTAGTATAGAAATATGTCGTCAGTTGTTAGTCTAATCATGGTGTTTCCGAAATGGACAATGGAATAGTGAATTAGAAGTGGGTTGATTAGTGTTTTCATTCATACAAAGTCAGTTTACCTACGAAATTCATCATTTAGCTTCAACTGGGTGTCCAACCAACATCAAAGAAGTAACTTCTTCAGATGATGCCTTAGAAAATCGACATCATGTCTGTTGCTTTTAATGTGTCTACATAGGATGAAGGTTTTTACGTGTTTTTTAGACAGGACAATAATGAGATAACATTTTTTGATCACGCTGATATCAGATTTTATAACTGAAAAATTAAATAAGTGAATAGTAATGAATTTGTTGTGCTGATCCTTCACTGGTTGCAAACGTTCTGTTGTGGTATGAGCTACTGATGTCGATAGATATAAGTAGTATGTATCATCGGTCGAAAGTGAAATGTCTGGCGGCAGAAGGTTAAGAGGATCGAAAGAAAAAGGACGAGAACAGGAAATGATTGGTGTGGAAATGAGGGAATAATCAAGTCTGAAACGATTGACTGATATTTTGCAAATGAAGTATTTACTGCATTATTCTCAAATTTTATTGAAGTGGTCTGTAATTTTATGTACAAGTACACTTAGTTGTCCCCACTTGTGTTCTCGTTCACTGCACTGTCAGTCATTTAGCAATAGGAAATATGTGAGGCGGAGAGAAGCCATTTTCTTGTGTAGCTCAAAGAGGTGATATGGCCGAGCGATAAAGACCAATATGGTATAATGCATTCGTAAATGTCTAGACTAATGACTAGCTCATCTTTTATATTCCTCAGGATTTTTGTTAACTTATAAACAGTTTGTTCTGAAACATCTTTGAGAATGTTTTCCCAGAAGATTTTATTGGTATCCGGCAGAATGTTAGATGCTTTGGTGATATAGTCCTGTAGGGCCAGTGAAATGTCACTGAGCCTTAGCCGAATCATCTGGCAGTTGGGTCATTGAATGTCTAACAGATCATCGCTCCCTGCCAAGGTTATGTACAACCAACGCGCATTAGTTAATCATATGCCATGGACTGGCCGATGCGGCAGTGGTCTTACTTTCGCTTGTATCTACCTTAACTAATATATTTCTGTAATAACGTCCTCTGTGTTGTACAGTCTTCAAAGCAACTATGGTACCTTAATACGTCAATGGGGTAGTCCACGTAAGGTGCTGACCACGAGGTGTGACTTTGGCATTAGCTACTTTATCACACCATTCACGTCTAACTCGAGTAGGCCTCCAATCATTTCGACAAAGATCATCTATGTTGGTGATCTACAGTCCTCACAGAATTTTGGACCTAATGGTAATACTTATAGCAACCCACGTGCAATTGAGCTTGTTCTCATTTAACTAATTAAGCCTTTTTTGTTAACTTATATAGCGGACAAAGTCATCCGTACTATAACAACTTATTGTACCCTTATTATTGTTGTGCTTGTATGAAATATGTATGCTTGAACATTGCTTATCGCCTACGCATATATTCATTCTGCTAGCTTTATTATTAGCTGCTTCATTGATTCGATGATCCATTCATTTCCCTATATAGATGCATGTATATTTAACACTCTACACTCTCGGTTTGCTGACTCATTCATTTGCCTCTCTGCCTTGTAATCTGAGTTATCTGCGAATAAAACTGTAGTCGCTGCTTCTCTTTGCCTTCTGATTTCAAACACCGTTGAGGATTATATGATGACGGTTACGAGGGTGATTGGTCAACGAAACAGCCACTACATACTTATGACTGAGTTGTGGGCAGTGAGTTATTAGAGACGTATTTCTCAGACATCTTCCAGAAAAAATGTATTCTTTTGTTGATTTAAAGTTTCTCATCAACCTCATATTTCATGTCTTGTAAACGCTTCTTCGAAACTGCGTCTACGCACTTGTCAAATCTGTCCCAATCATAATCAATTGGTTTTAAAACCGTTTATAAAACAGTCTATTTCCCAACTTATAGGTTGATTGTCAAAAGATCGTGTTAATGACCCATAACTCCTGTAGATAAACAGTATAGAAAGTGAGCCAGATATATAAGGATG